CGCAGCACACGCCTGTGTCTGGGCTGCCTGCCCACCAGGCGCTAGCGCCTAGTAAATAGGCCACCGCAGCACACACCTGTGTCTGGGCTGCCTGCCCACCAGGCGCTCAACAGCCTTTGTATATTCCGCAGAACACGACTGAGAGGGTGTCGGGCTGCACCGCCCGCCCCGAACCTGCCGACGAGGACGCCGCCTGGTCAGCTTTGCTGCAGCACAAGGAGACAACGACCACCCCAGAGCCGCCAGAGCCGGTAGAGACTCTGGAGCACCGTGCGGCGGACCCAGCACCAGGCCCTGGACGGATTGTTTTAGGTGGCGGTGAGGGTGGCCGTGTGAATGTCACCTCGCTGAACACCTCTACCACGACGCCCACGACAACAACCATCCAGCCGAATAATCCGCTCGACCTTGTCGACGGCAACCTGCTGCTGTCCAGACGCGACCACGCGCAGCACACGTTCGTGGACACGGCAGAGACGGGGAAAGGCAGACAGGGCGCGAGAGGAAGCGGACAGCTCGCGCAGGATGTCGGAGGCGCGATAGACAGCAGCCAGGACAGCAATGGGCTGCACGGGCAGACCATCAGCAGGCGGGAGAGTGTCCACGCGGTCGGACAGGACACGACGGGGTCCGCGGACAGCAGCCAGGACAGTGTAACCGACCTAAGTTCAGTGGACGACGAGGACTACACGGAGGAAAATGACGACGAGACCGAATTCGTTGACTAGACTAACTTCCAGAGAGGAAATAAATTTTTCAGATTTCAAAGGGTGTTTTGCCTCATCCAAGATCAAACAAACTGAAAGCCACCTACGGACAGAGGAAAGGTAATTCATGTCTAATGTGATAACTTTTAAGAAGTCGGCGAAATTGCAGAGTTTGTATGAGTTGCACTTTCATTGCTCACTGTAGATTTACAGGTGTAAAAAGGTGTCCTTACTATAGTCAATATTTTTCAGATATAAAACTAAGAATAGTGTATTGATCATGTGTGAGAAATTTTGCTTTTCTAGCTTTCATCTACCAGTAACAGCTAAGAAAGAATAGAAAACATTGAAAAAATTGTAA